ATGTCTAAACCTGCAGCTTCATCTTTCTCTTTGAATAATTAGCTTCCCTCTTCAGCCTGTCTGTGAGAGCGTGGCCATTTATAACAAAGAGTCCCGGTGCTATGATGGGATTACCAGTGATCAACACAAAGACCTGGTAACCAGTGTTGTGATGCCCGAGACACTGTTAACGGGTGACCGATTAATGGAGATACTAATAATGGTGTTAATGGGGCAACTGCCACTATGGTTTCAATGTAAACCTTTTATGTGCAATATAGCAAATGACAGTATATGCATCATGCAACCAGGCAGATGGGGTTTTAAATCTTTTTTTTTTTTTGCAATGCAAACTGAATACTTTTACAAGTATGGGTGTCATACCGTGCGAGTTTTGCATGTGGTGGGCAGCACACGGGCTGCTTCCCCCTCTCTGGTTCATCTGCAGATGGTAGCCCTGCTCGCGACCCGCCTGATGGAGATCCTGCAGGGTCTGTGGCAGTCCTGAGCGTCCGTGCCACACGTACAGGTTCTTAGCCATTCTGCTCACCAGCATCAGAGACTCCAGCACGTTCACAATGTCGTAGATACGACGCCTCTCAACGCCTGCATCACAGTTGCCAGTTACTACTTGTGGACATTTTGCAATTTTTAATTAACAGCGATTTTATGTTTGGGCGATGTGTCGGAAGCACTTTTATTTTGATGGCGTGTAGGACTTTTATTTTGTGCATGAGAACTGTTAAACAAAGAAAGTAAATGGTATATGAAATATTATAGTGTTTACTTTTCTATTATTAGTAAAAGATCGGTATACACTATAATACTTTCTCATCTACTGTCAGCATTCAGCAAACGCATTTATTTGTGAAAAATACTATAATAGGATTACAGAATCAAGAAGTTGCCATCTAAAGTATAAATCTGTTTAGTTTCCAATTTATTTTTCATAAAGTTCTAATTTATGTTTTTCATGAAATTCATTTTCAAATCATTTATTTCAAAATTTTTTAAATATGTAAAATATAAATACATAAATCCGTTTAAGGATTTAAAAAAAAATCAAGTTCAAATTTTTTTTCATGCAATTCACTTTCAAATAATTTATTTCTAATTTTTTAAATATTATGCAAAATATAAATACATAAATCTGTTTAAGGATTTTTTTTATCAAGTTCTATTTTTTTTATGCAATTCACTTTCAAATAATTTAATTCTAGTTTTGTAAATATTATGTAAAATATAAATACATAAATCTGTTTAAGGATTTTTTTATCAAGCTCTAATTATTTTTTCATGCAATTCACTTTCAAATCATTTATTTCTAGTTTTGTAAATATTATGGAACATATATATATATAATTTCAGCAATTGTTATGCATATTTTACTGTCTTTAAATCAAATAGTGTGATATCATATATATCTGCTTTATATCGCCCATCTGCCACCCTTTTCTCTGCGATATCGAACCACTATTTCATTATATTTTATACAGAAATAAGGGATTTGATGAGTTATTTTCTCTTACCTAAGCGTGTGGCCACCTCATCCAGAGAAATATTGATGCTCTCAGAGGTTTCTGGGTAATCAGAGTACAAGGCCAGAAATTTTTGACACAAAAGCCCCAAACTCTTTTGTTTGCGACTGGGTCTCCTCTCAGAATCGTCTAGTGCTTCATACTGAAATAAAGAGAGATAAAACCAGCTAAAACTACTGAGCATATGAAGATACTGAACATATTTAAGATGAATTGCATGCTGTGAGCCGCTGTGGATAAAAGCATCTTAAGTTTCAAATCATTACACCAATTTAGACGTATTCTCTTAATACCTGGCAGGGGTCGTCAAGCTCTTCCTCTTCATCCCCATCTACAGCCTTCTCTTCATTTTCAATGGGTCTGAAGTGGGTTTTCTTCATCTCTCTGTCGCGGATGTCTGGGCTGGCGGCACTGATCAGCATTTTCAGGTTGGCTGTCGGGGTCCAGGGGTCCGGATGGGCCCTCTCTACGTGTTTAATGGGGGTTATGTGGGTGATATCCGGGCTGGAAACTCTCCTATGTCCGTTCACAGACTCACACTTCAGTGGGGTCATTTTCTTTCCGTCCATGCAGATGTTCTCCTGAATTCACAGTAAAAGTGAATCTAATGAGGCAGTAGATGCATTATCATGTAATTCAAACAAAAATGATGCTTTAATTACATTTAGATTTCTTACTTTCTGGTTATTCATGTTGCCAGTATCATCCGAGCCTGTCTTATTCACTAGTGTCCTCACACTAAGCAAATCCTTTAAAGTTAAACACTTCATCTCCATCTAAAAAAAGAATATAACCAGCACATTTATGCTATTAGTAAATTACTGAATTATGTTATGAATGACACGAACTTTTGCACTGTTATTAATATATAATACCAACAATTTTACGTTATATAGTATATATCTGCATAAATTACATATCTGAATATAAATATAAACTGATCTGTAAAGTATTCATGTGGTGTTTGTTACTTACTAATGAAGTTATGTTGCCAAAAGTTATTCAAATACTGCTAGTAAATAATACTACGTTATTAGTATATTGGGTATTATATTACAAAATATCCTATTTTATTACATAAGAAACATGACTAATGATCACGTTCTTAAAAAGTGATCTGATCTGATGATAGTGGCAAGATTTTGGCGCAAATATTTTCAGCAGTTGCCTGGTAACGCAACCAATCAGATTCTCAGAAGAAAAAATATGATTAAACTTTTGAAATTATTTATATTGATAAGATTGTCACAGTATTTTATCTGACATTATATTGTCGGAGCTCAGCAGCATGCTTATGATATTAAAAAATACTTTCATATAAATCCTCTCTTTTTCTGATTTTTTTGAATACTAGTAAAATGTTTGTCAGTAAAAATCAGACTTGAGTTTAAGGAGATTTATTTACATTATTTTTTATATTAAACCATGCAAGTCAGGCTTTATATTCTTACCTTAAACTCCCGTTCTTGGATTAAAAATATCCTAAAAACGTAATTAAATCCTGTGAAGTGGTGATCCTTCGTTTTGCTCCTTAAATGAACATATTTTCTCTCCAAATCAGAGGATCATAACTAATAATCTTCTTATTTCAGTCGTACCGGCGGTATGAATCACCCGCTAAAGCTTGTTTTCTGGCGCTCTGAAGAGCTACACCCTCCCTCAGCCAATCACGTAGCCGCTATGCAAATATATCGACGGTGATTGGCCGAACGAGGAGGAAATGCCTCGGAGCGACCGTCGTAGCCAATCAGAGACGCGTTCTGACCAAGCCTGTGGGGGGTTTGGTGGCGGGGCTGTAGGCGCGCTCTTCATTGATCTGCTTCTGCTCTCTCCTGAAGTTTTAAAGGCGCCGCTGTAACTCAGCGGGGACGTAATTAATCACCACAGATGATTAATTGACATTATATAAATGCCAAATGCCTCCTGGCTGCTTTTAATGAGAAGCTCAGGCAGGAACAAAGGTGAGTGACACAGGTGGGATTTTGGCGCGACTGAGGGTTTTGTCGCGGGAAAGAGTGTAATATGAGAAGATACCCCACACCCACAAACTACCCCCACATAAACGCTCTTTCAACGTCATAATCACAGAAATAGAATACTATATTTAATAATAGCCCTCAGAAATAAACAGATAATGTATAGACTAATGTATAAACCCGATGTATCGTAGTCATCACAGTTCAAATGTCATAAAACATGAACATGCATGTATGTACACACATGCTTGTCTAAAACTAAACTAGAAAACTAAATATGCATGAGTAAATATGTAAAAACAGATCAATATAATATCTCATTCATTCATGTAATGGTGCATGTCTTCACTTAAGTTTGTTGTATTTCACTCTTAATTAGGGTTGAAACGATTAGTAGCCATCAGAGCTGGGTAGATTACTTACAAATTGTAATCTGATTCCAAATTACATGACAAACTAATGTAGTTAGTAACGTAATCCATTACATTGCACATTTTAGGTAATATAATAAGAGTACTTTTTGATTACTTTTAGATTACTTTTGACCCAACTCGTTAGTCACAGTGGTTTAAATAGGATAAACTTTCACCATATTGATATAAAAATAGAAACAGAATGAAAATTAACAAAATTAAATGCATTAATGAATTACATTACGTCAAAGTTTCCCAAACTGGGGTTCATTAAGGAACTGCAGGGGGTTCGTGAGTTTAATGAGAAGCTAATGATTAAATGTGCAATTAAAATAAATCATTTTAAGAACATCAAAATAAAATACTACAAAATGAAATATTTTATATGGTTACCTGCATTTCATGTGAATATTAACCAACGTCAGAGAACCGTGAACATGCAAATGTGATACTTAATTATTAAAATATTTATTTTAAAATCAAGTAAATATGACAAAAAAAGTTTGGGAATCCACTATATATATATATATATATATATATATGTATACATATAGAACACTATAAGGTGTTTTAGGAGAGCTAATGTGAATAAAATCATTTATCGGAAATAAAATGTGCACTTTATTTTGTTCCATATATGACTTACAAAAGGAGATGTTAGGCAGAATGATGCATCGTTCAGTCAGAAAGTCTGTCTGTCAATATATTTGTGTGCCAAATATATTTATTTGTATTGTAAAAAATTATTTTAATTGTACAATAGTAATATAATTGTTTGACATTTGACATTCACTTCAAAGCTGAAGTGATTACGTTGTTTTATTTATTAGTCAGAATATGTGTAACTCAGTATTTTAACTAATTGTAAAAGCAGAATAATAGAACAAAGCCTACTGACTAATGAAATAATCGTCGATTAATCATTAATAATTTATTAATTAATCAATAATTATTAATCGATCATCAAAATAATCGATTCTGTATAGAATATACACTCTGTATAGCATCATTTCTAATGCATTTATTGTTGTATGTTTTAAGAACTATCAGATTATTGCTTTTTAAATTATTTCAGCAGTTTTCAAGCCTCTTTTTTATCTATATTCAAGGTCTTCATCCTCGAACTGCTTTTGTGAGAGCTGAAATACCATAAGATACCGGGTAAGACTTAGGCCTAATTTCCATCTTGCATGTATTTTAATAATCTTAAAATATCTTGGGTTTGTTTGGGTGCATGTTACATTACATCATGTTTAATGCCATTTATATGTCATGATCAGTTATTTAAATGAGATCAAATGGCAATGTGAAACACTTCAGACTCTCTGTTTGAGAAGCGCACACAAAATTCATTTAATTTTTCAAGGAGCAGTGGACGAATCACATTTGCATGATTATGCAAAATTGGAGAGAAAGAGAAGTTGAATTAATGTTTTAGAGCAGCATATTACTGTGATTGTGCCATGTAGGTCAAATAAAACAGTGTGAAAAGAGTGTAAGATAGAGACAGACATGAAAAGAGGATCTCTGGTCTCTGAAGATGGGCTCCTGGTGGCAAAGGAAAAAAGTTAGAAAATTCAGAGAAAGCAAGAAGAACTGATCCAGAACCAGAGCTGAATATTACGAGGCAGCTTATTATTCACCAGGCTTACAGTAATACAGCCTGTAATGTACTAGTAACCAAAGCTACAACTCTCAACCTGTTACTTAACAAAAACTCCATCCATTTTTATTTAAAAACTATATGATAGTGATAAATACATTTCCTTCTCCAGAGTGTGTAATTTTCCTTTCACGGTTTTGAATATCACCAACAAAGGTTAGTATTTGGACAGTTAAATCAAAATTAAAATGCCTGAACATCATTGCATTAATTATAAGTAATCCAAACATTTTTTGTATATCTAAAAGTATGTGAAAGCTAACTAATCAGAGATAAAGCCATAAATCAAAACCTGAATGAGAAGTCTGTGATGAAATCATGAGACATTCTTTAATCAGCATTTACACATTTACATAATGTGTTTAGTAATTCATTTTTCACTCTGCTGCACCCAGCAAAACACATTATTTATGAATATTTGTATATTGGTTAAGAAGGTAGATATATTTAAAGCCAGTAGTAACCAAACAACCCATAAGAAATACATCGTAAACCTATTCATATTAGTTTCCGACTTCAGCAAAACAATCATAATAATCTTATGAAATATAATAAAGACTTCTTTTGGTGAAGACGAGTGTATTCTTATGACGAACTGTCTACATTATTCTGATGAGACAGGGCTGTGTTTGCAGATCCTACGACACGCTCGTGGCCTTCTGCAGCAGCTGGAGTGGGCAACTTGAGGTGAATTGCCCCGCTCAAGGGCATAATAAACAGGATCTGACCTCAAAAACCTTTTGCTTGCTAACACCCGAACCTAAAACCTCAATCCTTGAGGATTTATAACCAAGAGGTTTCCATCTCTCTGCATTAGTTCGACTGTGTGTGTGTGTGTGTGTGTGTACCTGATGTGGTGATTTGAGTTCAGCCGGGGCACGAGTGAACAGGAAATGCAATATGGTGCTGTATGGAATCAAATCTCCCAGCGCTTGACTGCTAGCGATGTGCTCACTCGTTTGAAACAGCAGCGGTCTGAAACAGAGGCAGACAAATATATTCATATTCACCAGGAATCACAATCCGGGTGTAATTTAGAGCCTGAAATGAATGCTGAAGATTTGGAAGGTAGCTGCATATGAAAAAACGTCCAATAAAATTCACCAAATGTCTGTGACATGTTAAAGTGGAGCTCAAATGACGTCCTCCAGTGGGTTCACAGCAGATATCTACTCACTGCTGGCAAGACGCGAATGATATTTCAGTAACAGAAAAAAGTCCCCCATTTATTTTTGTGCCAGTGTAGTGTTTTAATACTATAAAAGATTAAGTGAAACTTATTTGAAATTATTTTAACTGCACCACTATTTTATAAATGGAAAACAATGCAAGTCTATACACATGTTATCGTTCACCAGCTGGAAATCGCACATCCAATTACTTGGGTAAGTAAAAGCCACTTCTACTCAACAAGCTGTGGTAAGTACAGATTGTTCAATATAATGAGATCGTAAAGTGAATCTTATCAAATTATGAGTCTTATTTCAAATCATTTTAATTGCACCACTATTTTATAAATGGAAAACAATGCAAGTCTATGCTTTTTATGGTTCACCAGCCAAAATGCGTACATCCGATTGCTTGGGTAAGTAAAAGTGCGGTAAGTAATAGTGCAACTAGTTTTGCTCAGCCAGCAATAAAAGGGTAAAGTAACAAGGATGCAAAAGACAGAAGCCTCTACAATAGTAGTAGTAGTACTGATATTTCCATAGCAAACATCCTTTTCATGTGCAACCCAAGTCAACAGAGGAAAGGTCACAAGATTCTTTCATGAATCAACTCCAAATTTAAACACACATCTAGAGGGTAATTGTGTGCCTGTACTGTATTAGCTGCGAGGCTATATTTAATCAAACAAGCTTATGAGTATGGAAAAGAAACCAATGCCATTTACAAGTTGCACCTCGGTTTGGGTCGAAAATTTAATCACTTGCCGTCTGCGGTCCCTCAACAGTGATCAAACAAGACAAATATCTCCATATTAATAATTATATCTCTATCTTAAGGCTCTCTTGTAATAACATCTTTCCCCTGTGGTTGCCAGACATCATTTTGCATGCTTACACACATGCTCATTGAGTAAAATAAAGTTGCTAGTGGGGAATCGGGCCTTGCTCATGAGGGATCCAGGCACGGCAGTCGCTCCCAGAGCTGGCATCGATGGCAGTGGTTTAATTTGATTAGCTATCCTGTGAGACCTCACTGCTGTTTATTAGATTGCCTGGAGGAAGTATGGAGAATGCATGCCGCCTTAATCAAACCTGAATGTTAAGTTGTTCATAACATGAGACACCAGTTCATTGTCCTGTAAAACCTTAAATGCCAACTTCCTCTCAGGTCCAAAAAAATTATTCCAGCTAAAACCGAAGTATTAACGCATCACTGTTCACATTAATACATAATGCTGCTTTGCAAAGAGTTTGAAACAGAAAATACATGTAAGCGGAAAGCATGCAAGTTATTACATTCTGATGAAAGATTACAACAGAAAACTTTATTTGGAATAATGTGCACCGATAAATCAAGACCAAGAACGTGGAGCTGTCATGAGTCACACAATAAAGGAGCAATTGAAGGTGAGCATTAGAGCATTATCCGGACAGATCATTTGACACTGACTTCTCCTCAGCTAATCAGTCGAGCATCTCCATTAATAACCTTCCTTTCTCTCTCTCTTTCTCACCGTTAATTAACAGCAATTTTCAGAAGGAAGACTCCAGGCGACCTCTTTGTCTCAGCGGGGGAAGGACAGGGACAAAGTATAACACAAATTGAGAGCATTTGTGTGAAAAATTAGACACAAAATTGCTCTGAGTGTGTGACATCAGAAGCTGCTTGCAGTCACTCGAGGACAGGAAGATAAAGTCACCTGACATCATCCAGACTGTACTCACCTGAAAGACCGCAGGAGACGGTACGCCTTCCCCAGGTCTGAAACCCGTCTGCAGAGAGGAGCCACGGCTAACTCCATCTGTAACACACGCGTGCATGAGAGATGTTCACTCACAGATGCAAAGAGTCACTGCTTTCTAGACGCATAAGAACTTGACTGTAAAACTTAAACATGATGCCACTAGTCACTTCGCATCAGGATGGATATCAATTACCTCAAATGACTTTGCATCTTGTGACGTCAAACATAATGTGACAAGTCTAAAGACGCCATGTATTTAAGAGCTACAGTGAATTTTCAGTGAAAAAATGCTTGAATTGAACGCATAGAAAGCTAATGTTTGACATCAGAAGACTAAAGAAAAATAAGTTTGGTGTTTTTGTTGTTATTTGGAGCTTGACATCCCTACTTCCCATTTACTTTGTGTTTCATGGTCGAAAGGAAGTTAAATACGGATTTGAAACAGTATAAGGGCGAGTAAATAATGGCAGAATTTTCACTTTTGAATGAATTATTTGGTCTAAAGGCACCATATATTTGATTTGACATCTACATTGAATTTTCAGTGAATGACTGCTTATATTTTGCTTGTTTCTCACAGAAAGCTAATGTACAACAACAGAAGATTTCAGAAGGACCATTTTTATGGTGTTTCTTGTCATTTTGGAGCTTGACAGCCACAGTTCCCATTTACATTGTGGTTAATTGATTAAATAAATCTGAATATGGATTTTAAACAACATGAGGGTGAGTTAATGATGACAATTTTAAATTTCCTTTTGAATTAATTATTTGGTATAAAGGTACAATATATTTGATATATTGGTGAATTTTTAGTGGATAAATGCTTAAATTTTGCTCTTTTTCTCACAGAAAGCTGATGTATGAAATCAGAAGACTTCAGAAAAACGACTTTGGTGTTTTTTCTTGCTATTTTGGAGCTTGGGAGCCCCAGTTTTCATTTATTTTGTGTTTCAATGATGAAAGAATTTTGAAAACGGATTTGAAACAACATGAGGGTGAGTTTTCACTTTTGAGGTAATTATTTGGTTTAAAGGCAACATGTATTTAATTTGAGAGCTACAGTGAATTTTCAATGAATAAATGCTTACATTTAGCTTGTTTTTCCACAGAAAGCTAATATACAACACTTTAGAAGGACCGATTTTCTGCCATTTTTTTGGTCATTTTGGAACAGCCTCAGTTCCCATTTACTTTTCATGTACAAAAGAAAATTGGTGAGAGCCACAGATTCAGTAAGAGAGATGAATAAGGAAGGCTGACCCTCATTTTTCTCACCTGAGCAAAGTCAGCCGCCAACCTCATCTTCCCTCCCTCACTGAGTGGGCGCAAGAGGCTGGCGTGGCGGATGAAGAGGGTGATGGCGCGCTGGGCGATGTTCTCCGTACTATCGTACAGGAAGTCCAGACACTGCAGCGGACGGAAGTAGTCGTTCATCACGCGTGCGATGAAGCCCTGCAGCTCACGCATGTACAGAGAGCATGGCACGTCCAGACGGCCACCTGCTGGTAAAGAACTGAGCGTGCACACACACACACACACACACACACACACAAGTGTACTGTAATCTTGTAATGTGAGCATAGACTACAGCTACAAGCAACACACTGATTTCCTTTGTCGCATAATCAATATCATAAATGTGTAGTTACTGGAACACACACACACAATGTCAGAAAACGGAGGTCGTGTTAATGCCTTTTAGCAAGTGACAGTCAGTTTTTGGGTGAATTTTATGATAACGTTATATTTGTAAATATTTTACCTTAAAATCAAAATAATAAAAACTAATTTTCTTAAAAAAAAAATGAATGTGTTAGGATCCAATTAAAGCAATTATTTTATTGCTTCAATTAAGCACATTTAATTTTCATCATTGTAATGTTTGTGCATTTTTGATATAATTTTAAATTTTTTATTATTCTTACTGTAATGCAGCATGTATTTACTATATTTGAGTACAAATACTATAATAGATTGATAATTTTTTATAAAAAAATAAATAAATCAGCATACATCATAGGCACTATTATAAATACCATGACATACTATTATATATATAACCATGATATATGAACACTTTCATAAAACCTATAGTTTAAGTAATGTGTTTTCACAAAACTATACCTTAAATGATAGTTAATGTTTGTGCAATATATATTTTATATTTATTTCTTTCCATTTTGGACTGAAATATGACTCAGACATTGATTTTGTGAGATGCACCCTTTGAGCTCATCTCCAAACGAGGAAAACTCTTTTGAGTGGCTTCTGCCGACAGGGTGAAACTGGGGGTGTTTCTGGACAAAGCTGTCTCTATAGCATGCTTATTTCTCTGCTGTCTTCCCTCAGGAGTGCCCAACAGCGGGGACAGAAATAAAATAAGCCCACTGAGCCTGACTCCAGTGGCCCTGAGGGGACGAGAGATGTGGACAAAAGAAGCCACGCTGAATCACCGGGGTGACGGTTTAAATGTTATCAAACGCTGGCACATCACTCTCTGTTGTATTCACTGGACCACCCAGCAAGTGCAAGAGGAAACGAGAGATGAATGCAGAAGAGAATCTTCAGGGAATGTGTCCATTATAACAGCCAAAAACACAGATGTACAGCCCCACATCATGAGGGTGTTCATTTATCTGCAGTCTCATGGCATCACATGAGTCTTTCAGCATGAGGACATGAATAACTGAATGGAGATTTGTAAGGTTTAAAGACTGAACATGAGGAAATCATAATAAAAATAAAAACTAATTTAGCAACTAGTATTAAATTTTATAACCCTGTCATCGTAGCATTGTGATTTCTAAACTTAAAAATACTGGCAGTGCCATCAAAACGTTTTTTTGTAAATGGTAAAGAACTATGACAACAGCACACCCATTACACACTGTCTATGCTTTAAGAAACAACTTATGTTGAAATATGGTGAGCTGAGAGAGGCCTGGTCTCATAACTTCCCTCAACAAAACTAAATAGGGCACATAATCCCAAATGTCATGTTAATGTTTGAGAAAAAGCCCACGAGGGGAGAACACGGTCTTTGTACAACCTTAAATCCCAATTTTGACATCTCTCATTTGTTGTGTGTGATATTTTGAAATGGTCAAATATATATATGTGAAAAATGAGTCAACCTGGAGTGCTAGGTTTCTCACTTTTCAGCTGCAGAGCACCGATGCTGCATGGCATGAGGCGAGTCATTTACATAAGACTAACTAGTTGAATACTTTTTTGGACAACTAGTCCTTTAGGAAAAACCCTATGGCATGGAATACTGTATCCCACAATGCTTTGCACTTAACCTAAAAAATAACCATATTAAATTTCCAAGATGATAAGTGGACACTACTGAGGTTGTTTAACAGTGTAACATACTACTGTTTATGCAGACTGAGTATGCCTTACTGGGAATGGTGCGCAATATATAAAAGTATATACTGAGCTGTATGCAGTGTATGCAGGGTTAGGGTAATATAGTAATACAGTGCATGTGTTGCTTGCTTACCCAGAGAAATCCTCCTGGTGCATAGTAATGAGTATTGCTTCGACAGAGTCCGTAACAGAATTTAGCAGTGGCTGAACGGCACTACTCATCAGAGCCTGAACTGACTGCAAGACACAAAAACTTTAAGTTAACTAATGAACACGTTTGATTACATGTCATTAACTAACTGCTTGATTTTTACTGTATATTTCTGCCACATGGACATCAACTTGAGATAGTCACCACTGATAAGCTATTACTAAATATAATGTAGAAACTTTAATTTTCTGTAAAGCTGCTTTGCAACGATTTGCATCGTGAAGGTGCTATACAAATAAACTTGAATTGAATTGAATATGAATTAACCCCTTAAGTGTCACCGGCACACTGCCATTACATATTTTATTGCCTATCAAATGTTTTAGGAATCACCCTAAATCATTTGAAAGATTAAAAACTCAAAATTCATCCAGTGAAAACCTTTTTGAAATCAGACATTGCGTTATCATGGAAATAGTACTTTAAAATCTTTTGGCGGTCTCCTCCCCCTAAGTGGGCGGTGTCAAGTGTCATATTACAAAATGTATTACCGTATTTTACAATCAAATGTTTTTATAAGTTGGAAAGGTCTGAATCTCAAGATTCCATATTTGATGGACATCAACTTGAGATAGTCACCACTGATAAGCTATTACTAAATATAATGTAGAAACTTTAATTTTCTGTAAAGCTGCTTTGCAACGATTTGCATCGTGAAGGTGCTATACAAATAAACTTGAATTGAATTGAATATGAATTAACCCCTTAAGTGTCACCGGCACACTGCCATTACATATTTTATTGCCTATCAAATGTTTTAGGAATCACCCTAAATCATTTGAAAGATTAAAAACTCAAAATTCATCCAGTGAAAACCTTTTTGAAATCAGACATTGCGTTATCATGGAAATGGTACTTTAAAATCTTTTGGCGGTCTCCTCCCCCTAAGTGGGCGGTGTCAAGTGTCATATTACAAAATGTATTACCGTATTTTACAATCAAAAGTTTTTATAATATTGACAAAATACATATCGTTGGAAAGGTCTGAATCTCAAGATTTCATATTTGGTAGTTATTTTGTGATAGAATATTAACAGAAATTTACACATTTGTGACAGAAAAATGCATCAAAAAATTTCAATGGAGTTTGGTTGTCACCCGGTGGCTGTTTGTGGTATAATGCCCTAAATAAAATCTCACAGGAACCTCAATTCTTTTTATATCAACTTCAAATTTGAAACATAACTTATTTAGACATAAGGCTTTAATTTTATAGCAATTTTAGAGTAAAACCTGTTATGAAAAATATTACTTTTATATAAAATAAAATAAAAATTGTACAGTGCATTTTCTTTACAGTAAATTTAAAATTCTATAACTTTATGATAGTTTCATATTTTGAAATGATTTCACTTCCACAATAATCTGCTGATTGTCTTCTTTAAAAAGAGTCTTGGGTCTGTATTCCAAAGCGTTCATTAATTATAACAATTTAAGTTTGGATAGTGCACTTTTCACGTCTATGTTCAAAAGTAGGGGGGTGACAGGTAAGCGGTTAAACAACAAAACACAAAATTAAGCAAGACAACAGTCAGTCAGACGTTAATTCGATGTGCGTAAAATATTTGTTCTTTTGAAGGTTATTGGTTCATGTAGTATTTCCTCACATGGTCGCATGGTGACTGGCACTAACACCTGCTCTCTCTCCTCCCATGTGATTGCCTGACATTTGCTGATGGGACATCAGTCTGACCATCGTGTGTGTCACTGCAGCTGGCCCCCCTCGTCCTAGGCTCTTATCCGGCTCTCTATCTCTGAGTGACATCAATGCAAACCCAATAGGCCTCTCTGACCAAATAGGGCCGGTCATCGGCAAAATCCCCTACAAGCTGGAGATAAAGAGCAAATCTCCGCTGCACATCTCTTCTTCCTAAACTCCTTCACAACAAAGTTGGTAGTCACGTACTCAGCAGACTCAGCTTTCCTGTCATTCTTTACCCAGAGTGGCAACTGGATCTTGGGTGGTGCTTGCGCCCCGTTTCGTTCTGGTGCATTTAGTTGTGTTTGGCTCAGAACAGTTCCTAGTGCGATGTGTTGAGGAACGGGGAGGAGCAGAACTAGCACTTGTAGCTGGTGATGCAGGTCCATTTGGGATAAGCCTCTGACAAGTAGCACACTTTCCAAAGGGGGCATAGGGGGTGCTCTTCTGAACTGTAAAATAACTATGCTTTCATGGACTTTATAAGTCATGTGCAAATGAAGGCCACAAGACTGTACGTCCACATCATGTGAGCCATTTGGGACAGGGATATCGAGATCACATGCCCTGCATGGGAGGAGAGCACTACCTCAACTCTGAGGACAGCGGGTGGTAAAGTGTGGTAATGTGTTTTCACCTTGAACTGTTGTTTAGACTTAAAGATCATGGGTTAAAGTGTGTGCACGTATCCGTACAGCTGGCAGGTTTTGTTAAAAGAGACGAAGGGGAAGAGAATGACCAGTTTACTCAACTGATAGCCAATTTACCTCAGGGGAGAGAGAGCGCTGAATTCAGAGAAGCTCAATGTTTACCCAATTGCTTTCCAAAACCACCTCCAGACTCTGAGTGTGTTTGTGTATGGCTGCAGCATCTCTATCCAAATTCTGACCCTTTGTTCATTGTCCCGTGTGCTCACCTGTTAATCTGTCTATCACAGCTTGATGGTGTATCATGCACCACTATCTGCTTAAATAGTGCAGTGCACTTGTTGCTGAAAAAGCACTATGAACTGAAAGTTGTGAATAGAGGACATTACCTGCTGTGAGCTGATATTCAAACCAAAAAGATGTATGAAATATTACTAATGTTACTTATGTGTAATTAAGCCCCTTTTACACCGTTATTAACATGCATCTCCAGTGACCAGTCGTGATGTTTCTAGCAGAATGCATATTGTTATTTTTGTCAAGAAGCTATATTAATTACGTATGTCCCTCGTATGATCTTTGTAGTGATTTTGTGGTGTCTTGTGTTTTACCTCTAAAGATGCTGTGAGCGATTGCTCTGCTGCAGGAGGGAAGGTACCCAGTCCAGATATAACCTGAAAACAACTCAAAGTCAGCAATCATTGCAATCATTCAACATTTAGAGCCCCTGAACAGTAATTCCTGTCTTCACTCAAAGTTCAGGCCCAAAAAAATTATAATCTTACTGAAACAAGTACCTTCACTTTTCACCAGTAAAACTTTGATCACCTCCAATTTAAATATTTAATCATAGAGAAATCTCTTTTTATTACCTTATTAATCCCACCAGCAAGTATTAAGCTTTGGCTGCTGCTGGCATGTTTTTTTAATGGGCCAGCCCGGGAACTACATCAGCTGGTGCTAAAAGAGCCACTTGTGAAATATCACCACTCATATTGTACAGATATGACTGGTGGTGAGTCTGCAGTTTCTCAAGACTCTCTCTTGAGAAAAGACTGAGTAAAGGCACTGCAGCCATATGCTCTTTATAGACAGGTGGACTGTTTTCCGCACATAGAGGAGTTTTATAATACAGCAGGACTCTATAATAATTTCACGCTGACTTCTATTTAAACACCCCACAAAACCTTTCCTTGGCATGGAACAGTGATTTCATATATCCTGCTGAGTGAATTCTTACAATCATCTGTTAATAAAACAGTTTTGGGAAGCACATAATGGCAAAAAATCTATGGGACGCCAAAACTTCTCATTATCCAGACATCAACTAAAGAAAGAAATTTAGACAGACTGAACCATAAAACTAACTGAATAACTATGTGTTTATTATGGATAGTTACCATTTACTCACCATACATTATTTTTATACTTTTTAATATGGGAAGCACAAAAAGGATGTTTAGCAGAATGTCCAGAGAGCTATTTACAAAACAATGATAATCAATTGGGATCTAGTTCTTAGATCTTCTGGCCTGTATTTCATGTGAAAGCTATATCATAGCTTTATGTGAGGAACAGACCAAACTTTTTTAACTTCCCATTTACTTCACCTCTCAAATGTCTTGGAACAGTGTGGATTCAAATATATTGAAGTCATTTGCATTACTTTTATAGTAGATTTAGTGTTTTTTTTTTGTCATTTTTTTGGAGCTCGAGCATCTGGCCCCATTCACTTAGTACCTAGGACATTCTTTTAAAATGACACACACACACACACACACACACACAAAAAACAAAAAAACCTAAATGCTTCTTGGAAGAAAGTAAGTTATATGGGCTTGGAATGACACAAGGGTGAATAAATGACAGAATTCTGCATTGTGGAGTGAACTATAGTAACTATAGTGTCTTGAATGAGAGCTGGTGTTCTTACTTTAGCCACAGATTGCTGTAGGCGGAACAGAGAGTTCACTACGGCAATATTTCTCCTCTGACCCTCCGTCAGGGGTCCGATCACCTGACTGGCATCCCCTTGTGTACACAGCTGAGAGAAAGAAGAAAGAAAGAAAGAAGGAAGGAAGAAAAAAAGAGATTAAACAATATTAAGCATCACAACCAAAGACTTGAGTAAATAATCAAGGAGTCAACATCAAAAGCGAGGAGACCGCAGGCTCCCACTAATTTCCCCAGATGTCCCAGTGTTCGTCTGAGGTCAGAAGCGCTTTGCTCAGTGTTGCACAGCGGTCAACATGCTGAGACACAGGCGTCACCATGGAGCTCAGACAGCAGAAGCAGCTGGCATTGTGGGTTGGAGGGCGAGCAACAGGGAGACGAAAAAGAAGGATTTGCCCAGCTCAGTGCCACACCACAGGAACTAACAAGCGAAAGGTTGTCTCAGTCACGAGCAAACCACAGCACACAAACACATATTCGTGCCGCCTTGCTGCCTCCTGACATAAACAAACAGCCGCTACAAACAAAACAACTCAAAGTCGAACTCGTACAAAGGCAGCACAACCTCCAAGACATCACACCTCTCATCAAAGGTGGGGGGCTGGGGAAATGAAATTGGGGAGAAAAAAATATCACACATCGCCTGCGAGGAAAAGCCACATAGGATAGTGGCAGCAGGGCTACCATGGCAACAGTCTAAAAATGGCAAGGCAACGGTTAATTAACGTTTCCCGTGGCAGGTGTGGAGATCCCAAGTGAGGTGCAGCAACACTTGTGAACATTCGAGGTGGGTTGCTCCTTCACACCCGATGCTAAATAAAGCATAGCCTCCGGTGTATATCTGCAGTCCAATACAATAATGAAGCTTTCTGAGATTAACTGCTGTGTGACCCTAGGTCTGCGGTAAACCTGCATGAAGACCCAAAACATTCTTATGTTTCTGTAATCCTCATGGAAGTGCACCGTTGTCAAATATTTCCCCTGCAGCTAAACCAGATTATAGGAAGCTACTTTAAAACTCAAACACTGACCAACATTCGAGGTGGGTTGCTCCTTCACACCCGATGCTAAATAAAGCATAGCCTCCGGTGTATATCTGCAGTCCAATACAATAATGAAGCTTTCTGAGATTAACTGCTGTGTGACCCTAGGTCTGCGGTAAACCTGCATGAAGACCCAAAACATTCTTATGTTTCTGTAATCCTCATGGAAGTGCACCGTTGTCAAATATAGCTAAACCAGCTAAACCAGATTATACGAAGCTACTTTAAAACTCAAACACTGACCTATTTTTTGAAAAAAAAAAAAAAAAAAAATCCATTAGGGAGAATGTCCATTAGTTATTGTAACTATAGTTTAAAGGGATAGATCACCCACAAATTTAAATTCTGTCATCATTTTCTTACCCTTATTTTGTTCCAAACCCATAAGTGGTTAATCTTCAAGGCATAAATTAAGATATGTTTAATGAAACCTGAGGTTTCTGTTTCTCCATTGAAACTCCAGGTAACCAAAAAAGACTAAATTAAATATTCTTCATATGAAGTGATTGTATCTTTTCACAAGATTTGTATTAAACCACTCTTTTCATATTGATTTCTTTTATGAAGCCTTTATGATCTTTTTGGATCTTCTAAGTTTTGGTTACCTGGACTTTCAGTGGAGTGACAGAAACCTGTCAGATAAAATGTGGATAAAATTGCTGTCATTGGGCAGCAATTTTATCCACGTTTCGGAAATCATTCTCCCTGCAAGTGCACTCTGTAAATCTGTGGATCGGAGTTGGTTAAAGTCCCATTCCATTATCACAGCAGGAAGGATATGAGAGGTCCAGGTAACCAAACCTTAGAAGATCCAAAAAGATAATAAAGGCATCATAAAATAAATCAATATGAAAGGAATGGTTTAATACAAATCTTGTGAAAAGATACAATCACTTCATATGAAGAATATTTAATTTTGTCTTTTTGGGTTACCTGGAGTTTCAATGGAGGAACAGAAACCTCTCAGGTTTCATTAAAAAGATCTTAATTTATTAATTGAGTTGTTAATTAAGTTTCATTAAAAAAATATATTAATTTGTGTTTCAAAGATGAACTAAAGTCTTAAATTTGGAACAATATAAGGGTGAATAAATGATGACTTACACTTTTTTTTCTGTCCGTATAAGTAAAACCATACAGGATTTCTAAGGAACAGAACTGAAGAAAGCTGGGAATGACCCGCTTCCACGGGATCAACTGATTGGACGGTGACAATGTCCATCATCAGGACACTAGCTACAGCTCAGATGAATCATACGGAGAGGTTCTCTGATGCAAGAAGTATTCTTAAAGCCTGGGGCTACCAACTATATGGCACATTGGGCAGCAATTTTTTCTACGTTTCGGAAATCATTCTCCCTGCAAGTGCACTCAGTGTAAATCTGTGGATCGGAGTTGGCAATGTCCATCATCAGGACACTAGCTACAGCTCAGATGAATCATACAGAGAGGTTCTCTGATGCAAGAAGTATTCTTAAAGCCAGGGGCTACCAACTATATGGCACATTGGGCAGCAATTTTTTCTACGTTACGGAAATAATTCTCCCTGCAAGTGCACTCAGTGTAAATCTGTGGATCGGAGTTGGTTTAAAGGGGTCATATGATGCGATTTCATTTTTTCCTTTCTCTTTAGAGTGTTACA